CAATCTAAGTCCAAATCCAAAGGCAAGAGAGGATCATGGCTCTAGGCCTAAGACATTGCTTTTGGTTACTCTGCCTTTTGGTTCTTCTTATTGTTCTTTAAGTTTCATATATTGGTTCTTTTTTGGTCTTCAGTACGTTGAACAAGGCCCATCTATGTTACCTCAGTCAATATATTTATTTAATGTAATTGATCTACTGATTGAAATGTTATTCTCATGTAAAAAAACACCTTTAAACATACACACATACATACACTCACACTCACACACCACAATATCTGGATACTGCATGGCCTCATCAGGCTGATGAGGTAATCATGATACTGGGTAGCTTCATGCAGCAGAATATAATATGTAATCTCAATAAAAACCTACAAACTTCTACATTCTAGCCACAGATAGTAAAGTTCTCTTATTTAGGGTTGTACAAAGTGGCACTTTACGCACTTGATGGCTCCAGAGCCCTAAGAGGGAATACATTGCCCAGTTTGCATGTGACTATTAAGTAACGTTCATATTTTTCCAAGTTCCTAATATCAGCAAAGACAAAGGCAGCAATATCTTTATGTATTTAATTCCTTTTATCAATATTCACTTTAATGTCCAATTAATTTTTGTAATTACTAGATCTTTATCCTCCACATTCATAATTTTGATACTACAACAGACCTACTATTCAAGGCCTAGAATAATTTTTGACTCTCCAAGAATTGAAGAAGCTGTATGATACCTAACATATGGTGTGCATTGTTTCACAATGATTTATCCTGGTTCTTTTTCCTTGAAGGGAATGCCATTCCAGTGAGACAAGTTGTTTAGGCACTGGCTTGGGAGACTGACTTTTGAATGCCTTATCAAATTTTATTTTATGGGTATTTTAATATTGAACTTTTGGAAATTTCATACACTATTTTATCATATTTAAATACCTTCCCCTATTTATGTACTTCTCTTTATTCCCCCCACCCAATTTCATATATTTTCTACTCTTTGTAAATATATATAATATTAATTATA